GTCATCACTATGAAAGAAGGTGAAGGCAGAAAATCTCCCAGCAAAAGTACAAAGGAAATCCAGAGTAAAAAATAGTATTATTTATATGAAAATGGCAGGGCCAAGATGTTACTTATCAATAGTCACCTTAAAAACTCTCCTGTTGGGGCTGGTGCCACGGCTCACTTGGTTAATCCTCCGCCTGTGGTGCCAGCATCCCATATGGGTGCCGGGTTATGGTCCCAGTTGCTCCTCTTCAAGTCCAGCTGTCTGCTGTGGCCTGGGAGGGAAGTGGAGGATGGCCCAAGTGCTGGGGCCCTGCACCCGCATGAGAGACCAGGAAGAAGCACCTGGCTCCTGGCTTCGGATAGGTGCAGTGCCAGCCATGGCGGTCATTTGGGGGGTGAACCAACGGAAGGAGGACCTTTCTCTCTCTTTCTCACTGCCTCACTCTCTGTTAAATGAATTAAAAAAAAAAAAAAAACAAACTCTCCTGTTAAGAGATACAGACTGGCTGAATGAAGTAAAAAACAAAACCCATCTATTTGCTGTCTATAAGCAACACATCTCACCAACAAAGATACATGCAGACTGAAAGTGAAAGGATGGAAAAAGATAATCCATGCTAACACAAACCAAAAAAGAGCTGGTGTAGCGACTCTAACATCAAACAAAATTGACTTTAACACAAAAACTGTTAAAAGAGATAAAGAATGGCACTATGTAATGATTAGGGGTTAATTCAACAGGAAGATTTGACAATAATAAACATATACACATCCAATTACAGGTAACTTGGCTATTTAAAAGAAATGTTAATGGATCTAAAGGCAGACATAAACTCCAATACAATAGTAATGGGGGACTTCAGTAGCCCACTTTCAGCAATGGACAGATCACTAGACAGAAAATCAGCCAGGAAACAATAAGAGTTAATTGATGCTATAGACCAAATGGACCTAATGCATATGTACAGAACTTTTCACCCTACAGTTGCAGAATACACATTCTGCTCAGCAGTGCAGGGAACTTTCTCTAGAATTGACCACACACTAGGCCATAAAGCAAGTCTCAGCAAATTCAAAAAAAAAAAAAAAATCAAAATCATACCATGCATCTTCTCTGACCACAATGGAATGAAGTTGGAAATCAACAACTCAAGACTCTCTAGAACATACGCAAGCACATGGAGACTAAACAACATGCTCCTGAATGAACAGTGGGTGATAGATAAATAAAAAAAAATTTCTGGAAACACATGAAGATGACAATACAACATATTAAAACTTATGGGATACAGCAAAAGCTGTGTTAAGAGGAAAGTTTATAGCAATTGGTTCTTACATCTAGCAACTGGAAGGGCACCAAGTAAATGAGCTATCAGTGAATGTCAAGGACCTAGAAAAACAACAGCAAATCAGACCCAAAACAGTAGGTGAAAAGAAATAATTAAAACTAGAGAAGGAATAAACAAAATCGGAAACAAAAAAACAATACAAATGATCAGCAAAATGAAGAGCTGGTTTTTTGAAAAAATAAAAAAAATTGACACACCACTGATCCAACTAACCAAATCAATAAAATTAGAGATGAAAAAGAAATGCAACAACATACACCACAGAAATAAAAAGAGGCATCAGAAATTACTACAAGGATCTGTATGCCAACAAATCAGGAAACCTAGCAGAAATGGATAGATTCCTGGACACATACAATCTACCTAAATTGAGCCGTGAAGACATAGAAAACCTAAACAGACTAATAACCAGATGGAAATTGAATCAGTAATAAAGAACCTCCCAGCAGAGAAAAGCCCAGGACCGGATAGCTTCACTGCTGAATTCTAGCAGACATTTAAAGAAGAATGAACTCCAATTCTTCTCAAGTTACTCAAAACAACTGAAAGGGAGGGAATCCTCCCAAACTCCAAGATGCCAACATCACCATAATTCCTAAACCTGAAAAAGGGACTGCAGAGAAGAACTACAGATCAATTTCCCTGATGAACACAGACACAAAAATCCTCAACAAAATACTAAGCAATCGAATACAACCATACATCAGAAAGATTCACTTGGGCCAAATGGGATTTATCCCTGGTATGCAGGGATGGGTCAATGTTCATAAATTAATCAGTGTGATAGCATCACATTAACAAGCTGAAGAACAAAAACCATATGATTTTCTCAATTGATGTACAGAAAGCACTTGCTAAAATACAGTACCCTTTCATGATGAAAAATTTAAGCATAATGGGTATAAAAAGGAACATTTCTCAACACAATCAAGGCAATTTATGAGAAACCCATGGCTAGCATCCTACTGAATGGAGAAAAGTTGGAAGCATTCCCACTGAGATCCAGAAGCAGACAAGGATGCCCATTCTCACCATTGCCATTCAATACAGTCCTGAAAGTTTTAGCCAGAGCCATTAGGCAAGAAAACGAAATCAAAGAAATACAAATTGGGAAGGCAGAAGTCAAATTATCCCTACTTTAGAAGACATGATTCCATTTATAGGGGATCCAAAAGACTCCACTAAGAGGCTATTGGAACTCATAAAAGAGTTTGGTAAAATCAACACACAAAAATCAATAGCCTTCATATACACAGACAATGCTACGGCAAAAACTTTGGCATAGGCAGAGTTCTTGGAAAAGACCCCAGAGGCACAGACAGTCAAAGCCAAAATTAACAACTGGGATTATTTCAAATTGAGAAATTTCTGAACTGCAAAAGAAACACTCAGCAAAGTGAAGAGGAAGCCAACAGAATGAAAGAAATTTTTGCAAACTCTGCACTAGATAAAGGATTAATATCTAGAATATATAAAGAAATAAAGAAACTCAACATCAACAAAACAAAGAATCCAGTTAAGAAATGGGTAAGGCCGGTGCTGCGGCTCACTAGGCTAATCCTCTGCTTGCGGTGCTGGCACCCCGGTTCTAGTCCTGGTCGGGGCACCTGATTCTGTTCCAGTTGTTCCCTTCCAGTCCAGCTCTTTGCTGTGGCCTGGGAAGGCAGTGGAGGATGGCCCAAGTGCTTGGGCACCTGCACCAGCATGGGAGACCAGGAGGAAGCACCTGGCTCCTGGCTTCGGATCGGCGCTTCGCAACGGCTGTAGCGGCCATTTGGGGGGTGAACAAACGGAAGGAAGATCTTTCTCTCTCTCTCTTTCTCTCTCTCTCTCACTCACTGTCTAACTATGCCTATCAAAAAATAAAATAAAATTAAAAAATGGATAAAAGACTTAAACAGGCATATTTCAAAAGCGGAAATCCAAATGGCCAACAGACATACGAAAAAATGTTCAGGATCACTAGCCTTCAGGGAAATGCAAATCAAAAAACCACAATGAGGTTTCACCTCACCCATGTTAGAATGGTTTTCATACAGAAATCAACAAACAACAAATGCTGGCAGGATTTGGGGGAAAAGGTACTCTAATCCACTGTTGGTGGGAATGTAAACTGGTACAGCTACTGTGGAAGACAGTATGGAGATATCTCAGAAATCTGAATATAGACCTACCATATGACCCAGCCACGCCATTCCTGGGAATTTACCCAGGGGAAATGAAATCAGCATATCTGTACCCATGTTTATTGCAGGTAAATTCACAATAGCTAAGATATGGAAACAATCCAAATGTTCTCAACTAAAGACTGGAGAAAGAAATTATGGTACATGTACACCATGGAATACTACATAGCAGTAAAAAAAAAATGAAATCCTGTCTTTTGCAACCAAATGGATGCAACTGGAAAACATCATACTTAGTGAAATAAACCAGTCCCAAAAAACCAAATACCATATGTTCTCCCTGATTTGTGGTAAATAACAGAATACCTAAAAGGTAATCTATAGAAATGAAATTGACACTCTGTGATGCAATGAGTTTGAATAGCCCTTGTCTCGACTGTTGAGGAACAGTTTTTTTTTTTTTCATGCTATTTGCTGAACTTTTTACTTATTAGAGAGTTAATCATATGTGTATAAAGTTAATTGAAAATTTATCTTAGTAAAAAAATAAGAATGGGAATAGGAGCGGGAAGAGGAAGAAGGATGATAGTGTAGGTGGGAGGGTGGGGTCTGGTGGGAAGAATCACTGTGTTCCTAAATTTGTATTTATGAAATACATGAAGTTTTGTATACCTTAAATAAAAGGTTTCCAACCCAACCAATAATATCCATTTCCCTACACCTTTGTCAGTAATAGACAGCATCAGTCTAATGGACATATTAGTGCTGTAATTTGTGTAAATGATCAGTTTCATGTTTATTAATAGTTTATCTTGATTTTTTATGAATTGTCTGTTCATATTGACTTTTCATTTTTCTATTCATTTGCTATTTATTTTTCTGATTTGCAGGAAGTCTTTTTATACTACAGGTGTAAAATATTTGGTATGTATTATGCAAATATTTTCTGCCAGGTTGCTACTTGTTTTTAATTGTTTGAAATATCTTTGATCCTTTTAGGTATTCAACTCTATTAACTTCTCCTTTTGACATCGTGGTTTTGTGTCTGCTTAGAAAGCATTCTCTACCTCAGGATTATATTTTTAAAAAACTTCTATATTTTCTTATATTTATTTAATGCTGTTTTCATTTAGCTTCTTAATCTATCAGAAATTTATTCACTTCGTAGAACCCAGGAAGACCATGTGACTGAAGCCAGGAGGAGAGAGGTGAGAGCTTGGGCTGGAAATGCTGGAACTGGGTGTGCTAAGGATGTGGGTCTTAATCTGACAGCAATGAAAAACTGGAACTCATCAAGTAAGAATTCAGGATAAAAGTTCAGTTTTTACCAACAGCTCAAAAAGGATGACTGAGATGCTTCAACCAAAATGAAATAACCACACCAAAACCTGAAATTTTTATCAATGCTTATGAATGAGAATTAACAATAAATAGAAGCAAAGAACACATAATCTTTTTCTTCTTTGCCTCAAATTAAGCATTTAAACAAATCCAGCCATTGTTTTTTTTTACTGACGTGATCCTGAGAAGGAGAATACCTGAAAGTTCTGAAACAGACAAGCCATGGGATTACTGTTAGCTGGGCAAGGCATTGTGGTCTGTCCTTGGAATGCCTGGAGATTCTGGTACCCCTGGAGAAGTTGCTGTTGTTGCTGATTTGGAGGAAACATTTGATTGTTGTTTAACAGCGACTGTAGATGAGTCAGTTGATGGTTATTCAAAGTATTGTTTATTGATGACATATCACCTACAGTTTGGAAAACATAAAATATAAATCAATATGATTCTTTTGAAGTCCTACACCTATCTTTGTACCTGAAAATTCCTGAAACAAAAACTAAAAGCTAAACTTACTTGGGTAATACTTTTTCTTTTCTCCTCAATGTCTTATTAAGTGGTAAGGAAAGAGTAGTTTTATTAATTAGTTTTCCTTGCATAATTAGTTTTTTAATTTTATATAATGGAAGGGCTAACTATTCTTTGTTTTTTTTTTTTTTCTGTTAACCAATCTTTATATATATATTCAGCGTCAGCATTATATGGTTCCTTAAATCTATTTTTATTAAAGCACCAAAATTAAAGGTTGAAATTATTCCCAAAGTGTTCTAAAACTTATAACTATTTGACAATTAAAATAAGTTGGCTTAATTAGACTTTGTTTACAAAGTTCAGTTCTCAAGCCACAGTCATCAGTAAGTACCACCAAATAAATTGAGAGATTTGGTCAGAAACATGCACTTTGTTTTCGAGTAAAAAGTTGGTTACCTAATATTAAAATTGTAAGGAAAGCTAGCAACACAAAATAACTGCTGTCATAATTATTAAAAGCAAATATTGTATAACCATCATAATAATTACATTTATATTCAAGATTATTGTGAAATTGTTTGAAGGATAATTTCATAAAAATTGTCCTATAACTTGAAATATGTAAATCTGTAATGCTTTTCCGGTTATTTCACTGCAATGATTTGAATGCAAAATAGGACTAATCATGCTATACTTCAAAGGTATCCATTAAATCTGGAAATCTAAGAATTAACAAAGTTTTCACTTTTTTTCTTTTTGTTTAACATACTGAAAATGCCCTTGACACCAATATGTACATTTGTCTCTTTCTAGACTTCATGACAGAATCTTTACATTTTGTGTTCTTGTTATCAGCATCTACCAGTCAACATTAACTTTTTTGTGATAAGATCATCTAAATGAAGAACTTTGTTTTTAAGACACAAAGGAGTAAAAAAAAAAAAATAGTATCTCAGAAAACTAGCAGCAGCTGGAGGGGCTGTTTCATTGATCTTGGGCAAGGTTCAGTTTTCAGTGTTTTTATGTCTTGTTTCTTGTTTTGCTGGACAAGCATTTAGTTGTTTATTTAGGATTCACCTGGAAAACGCTTCCTCAAACCGTTTCCATCCACCGTGCAGCTGCTCATACTAACCCTGTGATGCCACATCAACTAAAATTCAAATAAAAGTTAGTTTTAAGATGTCCCTGTGCTTCATTATTTGAAAAATAAGACTCAGTTTAAAAGAATGATGGGTAGGTTAGGTTTAGGTGGCATCAGAATTAGAAGGCAAGAAAAAGCAGGTTAAAATGAGTTAGAATTGCTAGAATAGAGGGAAAGGGAAAAGTCATTCTCATGTTTGTATAACTACGGTTGTGTGTGGGTGTTGTTATATTTAGTTCCTTAAGCAATCTGTGACATAACGAAAACATTTTTAAAAATGGTGTGACAAAATGGAGTTTTTAAAAAGGAGAAAATAGAATTAGAAAAACGTTTCTTTTGTAACAATTTGTGAAAAAATTTAACTTACCAAGCAGACCTGTCCCCAGTAGAGGGTTAAGTAGCTGTGGCACCACAGAGTTACTGTTGAGTTTAGCTGGACCAGGTGTATTCCCAGCATTATTAGATATATTCAGCAATGTTTCTGCCATTGACACCACTGCTGTCCCACCAAGTGTTGAGACAGTCAGTGCTGCCACTGCTGATGATGTAGTGGTTGTGGTAGTGGTTGCCTGGGAGGAGGTTGCTATGGAAACCTCTGGATGATTAGCGGTGTTGGCCGATGCCGAGTTCAGGACACCTCCCAACAGCTGGGGATTCAAGGCCATTAATCCCGAGGCCCCAGTGACAGCTGGGAGGAACAGGGGGTTAAAAGTAGTGTCACTGCCTGCAAAGCTTGGTAAAGGGTTCCCCATGGGGCTGGTTAAAAGGGTCTCAGCTCGGCTGTTGTCTGACTGATTGCTTGGCAAATGGTCTGGCGGGACTGACATCTGTGTTAATGAGGGTAGAGGGGTATTTTGCTGTTGCAAAAGATCTGAGATGGTCAGATTGAAAGATGGCAGGGGAAGCCTGGCAGCTGCTTGGGCTTGGTTCTGAAGCAGGGCTGCTAAGAGCTGAAAGTGAACAGGTTGTAATACCTGCCCATCCATGTCACCGGAGAGAAAGGCTAAAGCAGCGTTTACATTTGGATTGAGAAAACCTAAAGGGTGGAGGTTGATCTCAGACTTGCCTTCTCCTGCTGAAGGCTGGAGGATATTTAATAGATTCTGGTTTAGGAGATGCTGTTGATTCACTGGCAAAGAGATAGGTAGAGAACTGAGGAGGCTGGGGTTCAAGGGGTGTGGAAGATGGTTGTTTGAAGTGCTGTTGGATGGAAAATGAAGTGCGTGCTCCTGGCCAACAAAAGGAAAATCACTCCCAATGGGCAGCTGACTCTGCAGTGGGTTTCCAGCTGCGGTGGTAACTATGACGCCATCTTGAAGAACAGATGTTGTCTTTGTGATGGCAGGGTGGTTGGTGCCAGCGATGGCTATGGAAGATGATGGTCCTGAACCGCCTAAAAAGAAAAAACAAACAATTATTCATTGTGGCTTTTAATCAAGGTTACTCATAAAAATGCATTAAGATACATTGCAATTTATTTGTTAAATGTCACCCTGCTTGATTGTAACTAGATTAACTGTAACCAGAGATGGTTTGACATTTGCTAATGGGATGGGACTTAGGTTTAAATGTATTCTTCTTCACCTACTTTGCAAATAAATAAATTGAAGAAGTTTAGTATATTAAGACACAGCTGTTAACTATCAAATAGCTTGCTTTTCATAGCTGGATGAGGTGGAGATGCGATAATGAGTGTTGCACATTACATATATGTAACAAAGCATCATAAAATGCATATTTTTTCACTTAAAAATGCTTTTCATCTTGATTTACGAGCCTAGTACTTGGTTTTACTAACCCCCCCAAAAATATAAACACAAAAATGGAATGTGCACGAAAGCACAAGAAAATAAAAAGCATCTATGAAGAAAACTACTATTAATATTTTAGTGTATAGCATTCTAGGTTTTTCCCATCTATATGTATATACATATGGAGACATATATTTATATAGAATGTTATATATACGTAGCATATATATAAAACATATATTTTTAAACAAACACAATATTACATGTATTTTAAAATCATAGTGCTATTTTGTAACTTTTCATTTATCCTTGTATTATGAATATCTTTACATCTTAACTTCTATATACAGAACCGTTTTACTAGTGGCATGTATGAATCTATTGTAAGTTAATAAATCCACAATCATATGTTGATGGTTTCCAATCTTTCACTGTTGTAATACTAACTATTGTTATCAACACTATTATGTCCAATTATTTTCTAAGGACAAATACTTAAATTAGACATTTTGGAATTCCAGTGACAAAAGAGTTACATATTTTAAATACTCTGAGTACACATTGTCAAGTTAGTTTCAGTAAAATTGATCAATACACATTCAATTTACATTCCTATAAATAGTGTATGAGTGGTAATTTCTCATCAATACTCTTATTATACTTATATAATAAGTATAATAATACGAGTTTTATAATACTATTAAACAGTGAATAAAAATGATTAAGAATCTCTGTCGTTCTGATAGTATAAAGACACTTTGTACTTTATGATTCCTTACATTAGACCTAAATAGCATTTTTATTCTTGAAAGTCTTATACTAGAGGTGAAAATTTCAGGGAATTTATTTCAAAACATAAAATTTCAGCTGTTACTGTATTAGTGGTTCTCAACCTGGACAACAGAATTATCTAGAGAAATAAAAAGAAACCTGGGTCCTAGCCCAGACCAGCTGGAAACTCATCTCTTGGGGTAGAGTAGGCAGTACATTCTTTGAAATCACCCCTCATGCTGCAGATGCACACAGGGTGGGCTAGAGAAAGGCAGAATCATATTCTAATTTTTTGTAAAAGGTCTTCCCCTAAAGAGGTGCATTATTTTATGTCATACATTTGATAAATATATTATTAAAAGTATATGCATTTAATTTCATTTTAAAATATTAAACATGTATATGATATCATGAACACCACCAATGTCACTGGAAATCTCAAATGATTCAAACATCTTTGACCATGTTACCATGGAAGCCTTGTTCAAATACACAGAAGTGTTCTCACAGTTGTAATAGCAGTGCCAATATAATTTCATATCCCTCTTATTTTCACCTAATAGGATACCATAGGATTTTTAATATACAGACTTTGTATCCATATTTTAATTGTGTAATATATAAATTGACCAAATTTATTCAATCATTATGTTAAAGTTAGGCATTTATATTTTGGCTTTTTTCATTATATACAACAGCAAGATGAACATCTTTTACAGATATTTTGTTAGAACCAAAAATAGTAAGTGGAAGATTTGTAATATGTCAAAATCTATACAAACAAAAGAGTTATTATCATGCCTATTGATATTAGCCATCAGTTTGTGTTGCTATGGTAACAATAAGTTTAAATCAGAACATTCATCACACCTTGCCAAATATCTCTATAACAAGAATTTGTAATTGTTTCAGTGTCTTCTTTAAGCTCTCACTTAAAGAATGAGATTTTAAAAAAACCTTATCTTTGAAAATATATAAATATTTATGAAATATTAACATGAAATAATTACTATGTCCACCAAGAGTAGGGTAAGATATACCAAAGGCTGAAGTAGGCAATTCTTTAACGATTAATTCAGATTTGTTACAAAATAATCAACACCTTAAACATTTCATTGCTTCTCAAATCTTGCTGCTATTTCCATAAATACTTACTGTGCCTTATTTGCATTTGGAAATCATCTTTTTAAATGAGCTAATAAAAAGTGTTTACTAGCAATTGCTCTCAGTGGCAAGTTTTCCTATCTGCCAAATAATAATGACAGATTTAAATGCAGAGATCCCCATTCCTCTAACCACAGGCAGAGTACATTTTCAAAACACACTAGCATGTATATGGCATGGCTTTGTAGGATGAATGTTTTCCTTAAAGGTTATTAATACTTTTTATAATCTTTAACTTGCAACGGAGAAGCATCCATATTTATGATTTAAGGAAGCTGCCATTTTGGGATAACATTATTTTAATCTAAATATTTTCAAGGAATTACATCGTGTTGTTAGTCTGAGTGAATTTTTGATTTACCAACAAGAAAGTGGCAAATACTCCAAACTTCTTAAAGGTACTACAAATATGTGGATCAAGATGCATTTTATTTTTTCTAATTTTCAGCAAATCAGTTCTACAAACAGTTACATCCTTCTTGCTAGACAACAGGATAGAAATGGTACAATAACAAACAAAGTGCTTTCCTTTCCCACAGGAACTCAGAGTTTAGGCCAAGTGATAACCATGGAAATCTCCCTTAAATACTTATCAACAGCTTATTATGAACCAGGAATTCTTAAGACTCTCCACATATTAGCCAGTGCAAGTACAATACAATATGTACTGTGACAGATATGTTACACGGGACAATTTAAAACGGAAGGAGTCAGGAAAACTACGTAAGTGACAACATTTCACCTGGGAGATAAACAGGGCTTGTAAGTAGAGACAAAGTAAAAAAAAAAAAATTGAAGAAAAAGAAATAACAAAGTGGAAGGAGCATAATGAAGAGTTCTATTTCTCCCAAAGAGAAGTAAGACTGCAGACATCAGGTACTCTTTGCCCCATGCTAGCCACTCCCTCCTGCCATGATTAAACTTGCTGCCTTAAGCAAGCAGTGAAGAAATTTGAAATCATCTTTCTAAATCATTAAAGGCAACAATCATTCATTTTCCTCTGTTTCTAAGACCTAACACCGTCTCTAACACATGATTGGCATTCAGAAGATGTGTATTGGTTGAATGAATTGTGCAATGATAAAACTTGTGCCTAACTTCTAGGAATCAGATAAACTTAATGCTGTGTGTGTGGGCACATATACATATGGCAAGGTGAAAATCTCTTTTCTAGTAGATTTGAGGGGCCGATTGCCAAAAAGATAAGGGACATTGGACAGGAGATGGCTGGAAGATGCTAAATTCCTTTAGAAGGCTTCCAGGGAACCCAAAAAGTTAAATAAATGTATAGAGGAAGAGGTTCACCCCAAGGCACCCTGCATTCATATGAATTTTTATAGCTAAAGATAAACTTGGAGATTGCTAATTTCTGAGTTACTTAATCTTGAATACACACACTACTTCATAGTCATGCATAAAACCTGCATGGCCTGTTGAAATATGGGCAGAAAAATGTTTTGTGAAAGCTGTTAACATTTTTTTTTTTTTAGCCAAGATGTTTTGTGCTTAATCCAATGAAAGGGATAGTTTTTAAAAAAGGCAAACTGTTCACTAAACATTGAGCAGTTATATAATCAAAAGGCAGCTGGGAGACTGGATCAGGTTAGTAAATCAGAGAAACCCTTTAATTGGAAACAACAATTATTTCACACCACCAGCAGCATCATAAACTGGTGTAATTTCTTTCAAAAAGGACAGAAGACTGGAAAAGCCCTAAAACAAACTTGGTTGGTGAGAGATCATGTGACTGCCTCAACACCCAGAGACAGATCATCCAGCAGTTTGGAACTAGATTGCCCAGTTGGGTAGATTTATATAAATAGAACTCTGCACACATTTGTTATTTAAGGTATTTATTTATATATGTGTGTTTTTGTATTTTAGGTGTGTGTAGCATCAGTAAACATTATTTAAAGAAATTTTCCTAATGTAATTACATTTTTGAGATGTTTTATCTGCCTCATTTTAGAACTTGCTTTGCAATAAAGGTAATGTGGACCTCTTCACATTTACTTCTCTTCTGGGTCACCAATTTGCTTTGAGGAAAGTCATCGTTCATATTGTAGTAAAATCTTATTATGAAATTCTTATGTGGCTCCTATATATTAACGATATTGTTATACATATCTTTGCTTGTCATTAAGAAACAGCATGTAGCTCAGACCAATGAAGGGTTTTAAAAATGCCATTTTACCAGCTTGATTTAGATCTCCACTTTGGAAGAAACACTACTTTATGCTTGGAAGCTTTTTCTAAATGAATATGCCCAAATGCAGATTTTTATCCATAAAACCCAAGAACTGAAGGCATGAGTCATATATGAAGGTATTCCTTCACCATTTGACCTTTACTATTTGCTTTGGTAAAGTGTACTTTCATTGCAAATAGGGTCAATGGTAATCTTTAATACAAATAAATGCTGTTAGAGATAAAACAAAAAATATCATGGTCTAGTGAGTCTAACAAATGTGATTCACATTTCAATCCCATTGAAATAGTGAAAATCTCTATTCTCTAAAATACTACCTTCTAATAACAATAAAAACCTGAAAGATAACTTTCATGAGAAGGTTGGATCTCTCAAAACTACCTTCTCAAACCTTTGTAATAGAGCATGGTAATGGGTATTTATAAGAATGTACCAATCTCTACCTTTGTGCTTTGGACTCTGATGTGAATTCCTAACATTCCTTTATCAGCAGGCCAA